GGAGAAAACACAGACATTTGGTTCAAACTCCTCTGTCTCTTCTTGTTGATTCTAACTTACCTACTAGACACTGGGATGATGCAGTTTGCTCAGCTGCTTTCATCATCAATAGAACACCTACCAAGATCTTTGAAAATAAAACTCCCTATGAAGTCCTTAAAGGCAACAAACCAAATTATTCAATCCTAAAATCTTTTGGTTGTCCATGTTACCCACTTTTCAAGCCTTATAACAAAAATAAACTTCAATTTAAAAGTGAATCATGTGTGTTTCTTGGGTATAGTTCCAACCACATGTCTTTGAGACTTTGATGAGTTTCAGTATCCCTATTTCACTAAGAAAACTTCTTTGGAAAAACAAACATAAGGCCAAAACATCATCACAGTAACAAGTTTTCAAAATGTTCTCACATCAACACTTAGCAGTGGCAACAACATCTAAAACCAGCATGCTTGGCACCCAATTCAAACAAAAACTAAAACTACAAACTGCAACAATTGGATACTAGATTCCCACAAGGGAGAATCACACTTATACTAAATACTAACAACACACAACTATAACGACACTACAGTAGAATATTACACCCCCTTTAACATGCAAGCACATCGAAAACGACGACTAAAATCAGATCACCAACCAAAACCCGTAACAATTAAACTCCACAATCAAAGCCAATGAGAGCTACTGAGAAAGTTCCCAACTCAAAAAACTCCAACTTACTAGCGACAAGCAAGTAACTTCAGCCCAGATTTGAGCTCCCAATGCAATCAGCTGGGGGAGGGGGGGATGCTTAGGGAAAAGACTCAACAAAACCATGTTGTTGTAATAATTTTCACCGGAGTTAAATCAAAAGATTCAATCTCCGAGTCGTATCGCAAGGAATGTTAGCCGAATTACTTTGTAGTATATTTAATCATAGAAAGAGAAATTAAATTTCTAAACACTCTGATTCGAATTGGTTTTTGTTTTCGATTAGCAACTAAAATTTCCAAACAACTAAATTACTCAATTTACAACTTCAATGAGATTCAAATATCAATGAGGACGCTAGAGAGTCGGGGATGATTGTTCTCAATCAAATGTAAATACCAAGCAATGATCGTTCGATTAGATGATTCTATCAACCTACACGTCTAGAGTTCAACCTTAATAACTTTTCGTAACAAGAGGGTTAATATGTACGGAAAATCAAGCCAATCAACAACACATAACAATACAATTACGAACAAGCCTACTCTACACGAGCCTAGGGGAACAACTCTTTTCCTTTCGTTTCCAAAAGTTGTTTAATTGTATTAAATGGTGATCAATCATTCAACCCTAGGTGTAATTCAACTCACACAGAATGAACGAATATCAAAAGCACGATAATCACACGAATACGAATCATCATCCCCTATCCCTAGAAAATAAATTTAGTTACCCATAAATCATATCAATAAAATACATCAAACCCATAACCAAAACGGTAGGAATGCTTATACTTAATACGAAGTCAAATGTTGAATCTGAAGCACAAACCAAATTCACAATACGATTCTTGAAGTGTCACTCTCCATGATCCAAATAGAAGAACTAATATTTTGAAAATGAGAGACAAAAAAAAAAAAGAACAGCGCAGTCTAGGAATAATAGAAAGTCGTAAGCTCGATTCGTATTAAATACAACCCAAAAACAACCAATAAAAATCTGTTTCGAATTTTGAAAATCGTGGGCATCGCGGCGCGACGGGTCGACGTGGCAGGTCACGAGATCGTCCGCGACGCGAGAGAGTTGAAGTGTCGTGGCGTGACGCTTGGGAGGGTAGAACTCTCCGTCAGCTCGTGAGGGGCACCGCGTTCTTAGTCGCGACACGAGTGATCTGATGTGCCACGACGCGACACCTGGAAGAGTCGAACTCTCTGTTAGCCCGTGAGGGATGCCACACTATTGGTCGCGACACGAGGGCTGGAAAAAGGAAGTGCTACTCTCGGGAATGTGGGACGTCGATAGGGCGCGGGGGTCAACGCGCGCATAAGGGTCTGAACATATGTTGCTCGAGTTCTGGCCAAGCAAGTGGCTACACAAAGGTTGGACGAGGCTCTCGTAATTTTGAATCGAGACATGAACTTTGTACAATTAGGACAGTCACCTTCTCGTTCGATTGAATAGAATCCAAACGTCTGGTCAAAGATCCAAACTTGCACACCTCCAAAGACAACTAAACACACGAAAACATGCAAAACAATAGAAAACACAAAAAAAGTTAAATGAAAGGAAACACACGAGGCAAAGGACTAGGTGGACTGGAAAACCTAAGAAATGACCTAAAATGAAAGAAAAATGCCGACAAATCAAGAAAGAAAATGGTAATAAAAATAGGACAAATACATGCCAAAGGAGCTCGAAACATATGTCTAGGAGGATGCCGAACGCACACCCAAGCCTGATTGAGCAAAGGAGATTTTGTTTGGAGTCAGAAAAGACAAACTGAAGGTCAAAAGGGTCTCTGAATGGAGGCACATGGCTAGAGTAGAAAAGGCAACATATGTGACACCATTCTT